CAACCCACTCCAGTATAGCTGCCTGGGAAATTCCATGGACAGAGGAACCTGGAGGTTACAGTCCATGGGGTCACAAAAGAGTATGACGGGACTTACGGAGTAAACAACTTCCTTATATTGGAGCATTGGTCAAAATGCATGATACGAGTGTACATTTCTCCGGGGGGGGGGGGGGGGGGTCAAAGTACCTACATCAGGTGAATTTTCTGATTTTCTTTTAGAGGTAGGATTTTTAAGCCATATAAGATAATTAGAAGCAATGTATACAAACAACATGTGTAATATAAGTCACAGATCAAATTTAAGCTGATAACTGAACTATTTATCTCAACTAATATTTGATAATATAAAGAACACTGCATATTTTCAGTAACTTAAAAGGGAGAAATCTTGATTTTTCTATATGCTGCAGTGTAGATGAATCTTGAAACATATGTAGTGAAATGAGCCAGACACAGAGGTCAAATTTCATTGATTCCACTTAAATGAGGTACCTAGAATAGGCAATTTGATAGACAAAGAAAGTAGGATAGAGGTTATCAGGGGCTGGGAGCAGGTGGGAATGGGGAGTTATTGTTCAATACGTACAGAATTTATATTGGGGGTAATGAAAAGATTAGGGTATACATAGTGGTTATGAGTGGGCTTCCCAGTTGGTTCTAGTGCTAAAGAACTTGCCTGCCAATGCAGGAGACATAAGAGATGGATTGGGAAGATCCCCTGGAGGAGGGCATGGCAACCCACTCCAGTATGCTTGCCTGGAGAATCCCATGGACAGAGGAACCTGGTGGGCTACGGTCCAAAGGGTCACAAAGAGCCGGACAGGACTGAAGCAACTTAGCATGCACGCAGTGGTTATGAGTATGCAACCATGTGAATGTAATTACTGCCACTGAATTGTATCCTCGCAAGTGATTAAACTATCTTATGGTATGTATGCCACTGCTGATGCTAAGTCGCTTCGGTCGTGTCGGACTCTGTGCGACCCCATAGATGGCAGCCCACCAGGCTCCTCTGTCCCTGGGATTCTCCAGGCAAGAACACTGGAGTTGGTTGCCATTTCCTTCTCCAATGCAGGAAAGTGAAAAGTGAAAGTGAAGCCGCTCAGTCGTGTCTGACTCTTAGCGACCCCATAGACAGCAGCCCACCAGGCTCCTCCGTCCATGGGATTCTCCAGGCAAGAGTACTGGAGTGGGGTGCCATTGCCTTCTCCGGTGTTATGTATATTTTACCACAATAAAATAACAAAAAAGAAGTGGGTGGAGGGAGGCATGTGAGCCGGTTGAAATTTTATAAAAGTGGTCAGGGAAGGTGACACCACAAAGGTGACCTTTAAGTAAAGCCCTAAAAGGATGTGGAGGATCAGGTGGATAACTGAGGGGAAAGTGTTCCCAAAATAGTGAAGGCAAGGGGCCTGAAGTTGGGAGGGTGAGAGTCATTGCCGAACGCTGAGGTGTCCAGTTGAGTAAGCCACGGGGTGAGTACAGAGGTTCAGAGAGGGATCAGGCCACACTGTAAGTATTTTGACTTCTGCTAGGAAAGGGAGTCTTGGGAAAGTTTTGAGCAGAGGGTCGGGACCCAACTTGGGTTGTAACAAGATCCGTGGAACAAAGCATCCCTGCGTACCTAACCTGCCCCCCGGGGAGTCTCCTCAGAAGCTCTTCGCTCCGCAGGATGCATTTCCCCTAGCCGCCACCGGGGGGCAACAGAGCCGCGTGAGCGCCTCGCGTTCCCGGAGCCTGGCCTCGCCCGCCCCGCCCGCGGCGCAGGTGGCCCAGTCTCTAGGAATCCTCAGGCGGAAACCCGTCCCTAGTCCCTAGCCTCCGCTCGGCCCCTTTAAGAGCCATAGTTTCCGGAGGCCTGACCCGGGGCGACGGACGCCCGGAGGCCAAACCAAGAGTTAGGGATGGGGGGTGGAGGGGGGTGTAGAGGCGGAGAAAACTTCCAAGGTAGAAGTCCAACTTTTCCTGGGCTCGATTCCCTTCGCGCGTCCCCTAAAGGCGGCAGACTTCCTTTCCAAGAACGTGGCTCGGTTGTTCATATCACCTAAGTGGAAGGCGCGAGAGGGCTGCAGCGCCTCCGTCCCCGGGACGGGAGGACCCCCAAAGCTAGTGGCAAAGTCAAGCGCGGCAACTAACAAGCCTCTTCCAGCCCAAAGCTCGCCCAGACTCGCCCCTCCCCGCAGGGTGTACTTAGGCGGGTCCATCGCCAGCCGAGGAGAGGGGTGTGGGAAGAGAGGGAACAGGTGCGCGGCGCGTCCCGCCTCTCTCAACAGGTGAATCAACGCAGTTGAGTCTCTGTCCTCGTGATTCACACTCTGCTCGGCGTGACCGAAGCAGGAGACGGCCGGACCGCGATCTCTGGTCTTCAACTGCCCTCCCGGCGGGCTGGTCACTTGGTTCCAACCCTCTGGGCCGGAGCGCACCTGGGTCAGCCCACTTCCGGGGAGGGAGGTGGGGGAGCCCCTCCCCGCCGCCCACCCCTAGCCCTGCCCTCCGCTCTCACCCTGTGTANTCTGTACAGGCCACAGACCCTTTCCATGAGAGGGTGGCCAAGAGAAGAGGGGACTGGAAGCAGTTCAGAGGCTGCACTCTGGTTAGAGGAATGGGCAGGATGTTCCAAGGAATCAGGCTGTGTGACCTTGCAGTGGCCACTTCAACCCCTGGGTCTCTTAATGGGCATGATTATCAGAGCTGCCTTGGGGATTAAGGAACAGTGTGTGCCCGGCACTCTCTAAAAACCATGCACTTGTAAATGTAGGTGATGTGACAAGTGATGTGGCTCCTTCCTGCCGAAGTACTTCCTTGCACTCACAGTGGTCCCTCTGCTGACTCTCTTCTTGTCCTCAGGCCCCACCAGCGCCATCCAGGTGACTGTGTCAGACCCCTACCACGTGGTGATCCTATTCCAACCCGTGACCCTGCCCTGCACCTACCAGTCGACCGCGACCCCCACGGCGCCCATCGTGATCTGGAAGTACAAGTCTTTCTGCCGGGACCGCATCGCTGATGCCTTCTCTCCTGCCAGTGTTGATAACCAGCTCAACGCCCAGCTGGCAGCTGGTAACCCAGGCTACAACCCCTACGTGGAGTGCCAGGACAGCGCACGCACCGTCAGGGTTGTGGCCATCAAGCAGGGCAATGCCGTGACCCTGGGAGACTACTATCAGGGCCGAAGGATCACCATCACAGGAAGTACGTGGGATTGGACGGGGTGGACCTGAGTGATGGTGTAGGCTCCCTCTTAGAAGTTCATCAGCATAGGTGTCTGAAAGCACTGGCTAAGGGATGGATTCTTCCTTCTACCCATCCACCCATCCCTTTAACAGCAAAGATTTATCAAGCACCTAACATATACCAGGTACCACTTGAGGCCCTGGAAATACAGCAGTAAACAAAATTATCAAATGCCTTCCCTCCTGGAGCTTGAATTCCAGTGAGACAGACAAATAAGGCAAACACACACGACTTAGCAACTAAACAACAATAATAAACACGTACTTTCAAGTGCTTAAAGGTAAAGAAAAGAGGGTAGTGGAGAGAGGAGCAGGGGTTCTGTAATAATACTTGCAATATCAGCAACAATAAGTAAAATTTGTATAGTAACAGGGGCTTGCCTGCTGGCTCAGTGGTAAAGAATCCACCTGCAATGCAGGAGCTACAGTAGACATGGGTTCAATCCCTGGCTCCGGAAGATCTCCTAGAGCAGGGCATGGCAACCCATTCCAGTATTGCCTGGAGAATCCCATGGACAGGGGAGCCTGGCGGGCTACAGTCGCTAGGTCACAAAGAGCAGGATGCGAGTTAGCACACACGCACGCGTATAACTAATAACCTATAAAAGGGCTCCTGTGTGCCAGGCTGTAATCCAGGTTGATGTGAATTAGCTCATTCAGATGATAATAATGGAGTAAGTAGCTTCTGTTGCTGTCACTTTACAAAGACCCAGAGATTTAAAGTGACTTGCACAGGGTCACACAGCTAGTGGGATTATAAGTCAGCCCTTTGGGGCCTAGTCTCCAAGCTAATAACCCCTCTGCTTGCCCAGAAAGGTCAGCAAAGAACCCACCTGGAGGAGGTAACAGGAGTGAACCGAAGGAGTGAGGGATATTAATGGAGAAAGCCTACATCTTGCCAGGTGCTTTATGCCCATTTTATACTCAGGACAACTGAGTCACAGAGAGATCAAATAGTTCATCCTGGTGCACACACAGTAAAGGGCTGGCACTGGGATTTGAACCTAGCTCTTGTCCTTCACCGTCATGCTACCTGCTCATAGGAGGTGCCTCTTGGGACCAGGTTAGGGGTGGGGAAGTCATTCATTCATCGGCCTTTATTGGGCATCTTCTAAGCACCAGAAGCTATGGTAGTTGCTGGGGCTAGAGAGGTGATCAGGACAGGTGATCCCTGCCCTCAAGGAGGTGATACTTCCGTGGGATGAAATAGGCAAGAAATAAGCAGCAAAAGAGTAATGGGATTTTAGAAGGTGCCGCAGAGTGCTCCAAAGAAAACCCACCTGGGTGATATGTGATCATGACTCAAGACTGTGGTGAATATAATTTGACGAGGAACTAGGACTGGGCCCTACAGAATCCAGGGGGCAGAGAGGAGGGTGATGGGCAACAGTGGGCAAGGGATGAAGGATGAGTGTTTTAATCATGGGCATGGGGGCAGAGGAGGGAAGGGGGCATCCCTTTGCAGACCCCAGGGGACCAGGCCTCAGAGCACACCCCTTCTCTCTCTGTCTGGACCATGGGCAGGGACCCAGCCTCTCAGTCTTGTTTCGGGGAGGGACTAGCCCTGCTGGCCCTGAATTTCCTTGGGCAGCTGTTCCTGTGGATAATAGACTTTCGACGGGGGGCTTGGGGAGGGGGGTGTTCAGCCTGTATAGGCCCCTACCCCATAATCCAGGGGCTTCTCCAGCCTGGATCAGGTATGACCGGACAGCACTGTCAGGATAACTCCCCTACTGAGAGTGCCCTTGAAGGCTGGCTGGAATCATGTCCCCTTTGCTGAGTCCGTCATTGGAGTGACCTTGGGCTCCATCTGGGGCAGATTCTTCCTGCTCCAGAGGCCCACAGGCCCTGGGTTTTCAAGTTGTCTTGACCTGGGCCCGGGTTTGATACAGGCCGTGATTTATAAACATGCATTGTGTGTATGTCCCTTCAGGAAGCCCAGTAGCCACGGGAGCTTCCTCTATTTCAGCTTTGAGGATGGAGAAAAGCAGAGTTGCCTTCGCTGTTCCTAGGCTCACCAGCCACCCAGGTTTTAAAAGTGCAAGTCGTCCTGGGGAAGCCAGAGTGGTGTGCCTCTGCTTGGGTGGTTCCGCTCCCACTTCCATTCTTCGGCGCCTGGATCGGGGCCCTATTTCTACCTCTCCAGGCTGCTTGGGAACCGTGTGCACCCCCACTTGGTAACGCTGGACCTGAGAGCTTGTGGGACCTCTGAGATCACGAGGGCTGCCTCTGCTGTGTGCGGATGAGGGACCAGAGGCCCAGGGGAGTGGAGGGAAGCCCAGCTCCTGTGCCCAGCTGGAGACCTGGCATTTTCTCCCTGTATCTAAAACAATTCGAGCAATGCCCAGCCCAGGTGATGTCAGGACCAGACCCAGACGGGGAACAGGGTGCGGCCGGGAGGAAGGAGGTGAACTCAGGCCTTAGAACGGATCAAAAGAAGCCGGAAAGCCATGTTTTTTGTGAGTTTTGAAAACATCGTATAGGCCAAACAAAATGCATTGAGGCCCAGATCCGGCCACATGACCAGATTTCAGCTCCAGGCCTAGGAGCTCTTGGAGGGGGCAGGGGCTGCCTTCAAGCCCCACTCCAGCTTTGGGCAGGGCCCTGGTCTAGGGTTCTGGTTTTAGAGAGGTGCGTTCAGAGTCTGATTCAAAGATACAAGTGGAAAAAACGATGGGCCGAGAGGGTGTTACAGAGAATTCAGAGGATTTGGGAGAATGTAGGTTAGAGTTATAGGATGATTCCACGAAAGAATATATACAAAGGGACCTAACACATAGTGAACAATCAATAACTGGGGGCTAGATGCTTGACCATAAAGGCAAGCGCCAGTGCCCAAGGTCACCCTACCTTCCCGTCACTTTAAACTCAGTCGCTACCTCCACGACAGAGGCACTTCCCGTCTGAGTTCTGTACTGCTTATCACCATCTGAAGCACAATATGTTTAAATTTTTTATTTGTCTCTCTTTCCAGTTAGAAGCTTGAGCCCTGTCTGGGCGGGGATTCCTATCTGTCCTCTAGAGCAGTGGTTCTCAAACATGTGGGTCTTAGGGTCACTTTACACACTTACTGAGGTCCTCCAAGAACTTTGTTTTTATAGCTAGAAAATTAAGAAGTTAAAACATTTTTTTAATGATGATAATAAAGTATGCATGCTGTGCTAAGCCACTTCACGAGCTGTGCGAAGTGTCCGATCTTTGCAACCCTCTGGACTGTAGCCCACCAGGCTCCTCTGTCTGGAATTCTCCAGGCAGGAATACTGGAATGGGTTGCCATGGCCTCCTCCAGGGGATCTTCCTGACTCAAGGATGGAACTCCTATCTCTTGTCTCCTGCGTTGGCAGGTGGGTTTTTTACCACTCGCGCCACCTGGGAAGCCCTAATCAACTATAGATTGGTCTAAATAACATACTTTTATGAAAAAATAACCATATTTCCCCAAACAAGAAAACTTGAATGAAGATGTATGGCGTTGCTTTTATATTTTTGCACATCTGCTTACAGTCTGGCTGCATAGAAGCTGGATTCTCAAAGCAGCTTCTGCATTCAGTATATTGTGATAACACATGCTTGTAACCTGTAGAAAACTCCACACTACACTCATGAGCTTAAGTGAAAAAGGGAAATATCTTACTATTATGGTGAAAACAACTTTGACCTCAGGGACCCCCTGTGAAAACGTCTTGGGGAACCCGAGGCTCCACGGAGCACTTTTGAGAACTCTTGCTGTCTAGTATGGCAGTACTTCAGGTACTGCCTGAAACATCAGATGCATTCAGTGCGTCAACTACTGAATGACTGTATCATGTGCCTACTTGAGGACAGCCACGTGTCCAGAACACTGAGGCAAGTCAGTGTGAGGAGGAAAGGGGCTCGTTTCCAGATACTGACCAGGGCCTGGGGACTCCAGGTTCTGCTCGCCTGGGGCCCTCTTCCCCTGGGGATGGGCTCACGGCCAGTCAGCCCCTAAGCAGGTTCATAGAATTTGTCAGTGGGGCAGGGGAGCTGTGCCAGGGGGGTGGAACCAGCCCTGTGAGGGTCAGAGAACACAGTCAGGCCAGAGGAACAGCCGGAGTGCACGCCAAAGCAGGGGGAGCCCAGCACATGGTGGGGGACAGTGAGCAGGCCGGTGTGTCTGGGGTCTGGCGAGTAGAGGAGGACGGTGTGCAGGGGGCTGGTGTGGTAACCGGTGGTCAGATGGCTCCAAGGGCCTTGTGGGCCAGGGTGAGGTGCTGGAACGGTGTGCTGTCATTGTTGTTCAGTCACTAAGTTGTGTCCAACCTTTTTGCCACCCCATGGACTGTAACCCACCAGGCTCCTCTGTCCATGAGATTTCCAGGCAAGAAATCGGGAGTGGGTTCCCTTTTCCTTTGCCAGGGGATCTACCCGACGCAGGATCGAGCCTTTATCTCCTGCACTGGCAGGCGGATTCTTGATTGCTAAGCCACCGGGGAAGCCCTTGGAATGGTGGCGATAGGCACTGAAAGGATGTTTTACTATGGATGTGAGGTCTTCTTTCCAAAGAAGGAAGGTGGCTCTGGTTCTTTCATTCCTGGGTGCTGCGGTGAGGCACACACAGTGGCTGCCCTCTGAGCTGTCCTGGGGAAGGGCTGGAGGTCCCTGGGGCATGTGGTGGGTAGGTCCCCGGGAGCCAGAGCAGCTGGGGAGAAAGGCTGTGAGGATGCTCTGTGAGGATGTCTCTGGCCTGTTCCTACCTCCTGTGCTCCACAGGCCCAAGGTGGAGTTGCCCAGCGGGCCCCACCCTGCAGAATGGCTGAGGGATTTAACTAATTAGGGCCTGAGGAGTAGAGAGGAAACCGGATGTGCAGAAAGACTTTCATTATTGCTGTCATTAACAGGCTCCTTGCCTGGGGCTGTGTCACTGGAGCGTCCCCAGCTCTGGGCCTTGACCTGGAATGTGTGGACTGATAGCTGGATGGAGGAGGGAACTGGTCTAAGTCTCTCCCTCACACCCCCGCCTTGTGCTGGGTGCAGGAGTCTCCTGCTTCCTGGAATCTGGCCTGTTTATCTTTGCCTCCTTACCCTGGGTCTGCCCTAGGCTCCATGGTGGGTTGTCTGGGGGTTGACTTTTGTTCTGAGAGGTGGGATGGGGAGGGTAGGGGAGGGGCATGGGGTGTGTGGAGGCCATAGCTGAGTGGGGTCAGACCATCCCGGCCCACCACCCCCGTTTTCGCCACAGCTCTACAGCTCATCAGTAATTTCAGCAGACTGCTCTTTTCTCCAAGACAGGAAAGATAACAGTCCCACCTCACAGACTGAAGTTCCCCTCCCGTCCCGCAGCATTTCAAATAAGCCAGAGCCAAACCAAGAGTGGAGAGGAATGGGACCTCTGCCCCTTCCTGGTCTCAGTTTTTAAAAGCACAGAGATGGTCAGAGTGATGGGCATTGAGCCCGGAGGGGTGATGGTGTGTGTAATCGTGAGGCCGCTTCAGGTGCGCCCCCTCCCCAACCTAAGGCCACATGTCACCCCGCGGTCCCTCTGCCCTGCTGGGATGGTGCTGTGTGGCTTGCATAGTTAGTGCTCCCCTCAAGCAAGCCGTCCCCCCACGTGCCCAGGAGTGGGCTGGGATACCCGCCAGCAGCCCTGCCCCGCTGTGAGGCCCCCTGCCACGTGTGGAAGGGATGCTGCTGTTAGCCAGATGCTCTGTTCTCGGTGGACACATATAGTCCCAAGTGGCACGTGCTATATGTGACATGCTGTCGGGCTACACATTGCCATCATCACACGCATGATGCAAGGTGGCACACATGTGAACAAGCACTCATGATGGGGGACCATGCCCTAGGGTGCTCAGTTCATGTGACGAGAGTTCACGTCTGGGTGACAGAATGCATCACCCAGGGCCCACAGAACTCATGCATGTTCTTCTGTAAAATGCACAGTCTACATCAGCATGTCTCAAAACTTAGTCTCAGGAGCTAGTTGCACTCAGATTACTGAGGATTTCAAAGAAGGTTTGTCTACATTTTTGTGGGTTACATTTACAGTTGCTTAACACATTAGAAATTGAAACTGGCACACAAGTATTACCATCAGAGCAAATGACATCATCACACGTGATGGAGCCTCCGGAAAGCTCCACTGTATCTCTACTGAAGGAGAGTAAAAAGGGCAGTGTCTTAGTTATCAGGAACATAGCTTGGCCTCCGGGATGGGATCACACTTTGAGAACCACTGTTCTACCTGCTGGACCCCCCTCCTGGGGGCAGGCGGCATGGGGTGCTGATGTATGGCCAGGCGTGTGGACACCCCTTGAGATACAGCACTTGTGCAGCACAGAGTGGTGGGTGGCACCTAAAGGAGGCACCAGCTGGGCCATGAAACTTGCACAGGGGACCTTGGTGGGCTGAGAACCAGGGCCGTACTGTGACTTTTATGGGCTGTAAGGCACTTTTAAAAAATATATTTATTTTTATTTGGCTGTGATGGGTCTTTCTTAGTTGCAAACTCTTATTTGTAGCATGTGGGACCTAGTTCCCTGACCAGGGATTGAACCCAGGGCCCTGCACTGGGAGCAGGAGCATGGAATCAGCCACTGGACCACCAGAGGTCCCCTGGAATGTATGCACTTTTGCTTTCAAGGGCCTCTTCCTACAGATTAAAAACAAGAATTCTTTTACAGTAGATTGTTACAAAGACCATTTGTTACTACGTATTCAGTATTGTAAACATTTTCTTCTTCAGACTTTACAATTAAAACATTTTCCTGGGCCCTAGTGCACTGTCTTCCTGAGCCTCATGGACTAGGGCTGTCCTTACCTGGGATGGTAGGACTGTGTGGGTGTGGAAAAGACGGAATCCCAAACTGAGGTCCCACCTCCTGAGCCCATGGGATGTGTCCTGGCACCCTTCTGGGCAACAGAATCCCCTGTGGGGACAGTGAGTGAGTGAATCATGTGACAGAAGCCTTCTGGAAGACAGCACCCACAGGGGACGGGGGTGTGGAGGGCAGGAACCGCATGCTAGGACCCTCCTAGGCACCTACCCCATCTCTTCTGCAGAGCATGCCTCCACCCTGATGAGCCTGGAGCTGGGCTTCAGGGCAGGGATGGCCTGGGCTGGCCCTGGTCAGCATAATCTGTCTCTCTTTTGTCCCTCCAGGGAGGACCTCGGGGGTGGCCGAGCTCTTACCTGGTTTTCAGGCGGGGCCCATGGAAGGTACGGGGGTGGAGTCCCCCCACATACCACTTATCGCTTCTAAGTATCCTCCCCCTTTTCTAAACAGTTTGCTCGGGCCCCGCTAATAACCCCACCGACTCTGGGCATCTGGTGACCTGGCTGTGGGGTGGGCTGGGCTGGCTGACGAGGGGCCTGGGGTGTAGACAGGGGGCTCCTGTGACTGGTGTCTGTGGTGGTCTTCTAGTGGTCGGGGTCTGGGCAGCTGGCTCTGTCCCCTCTCAAGGCTACAGCCCATCTTCTTCTGGCTAGGTCTGCTCTTGTTTACTGCCTTGTCCAGATGAGCCCAGGGTGGGTTCCCTGACCTTGGGGCTGACCTGGGTTGTAGTGGAGCAGGCATCCCTCTGTGGCTGCACCCTGGCCCCTAGCGTGGAGACTCCAACAAGGGCTGGGGCTGCAGCTTCCCCGATGGGCTTTGCAGACAGGCCCTGCCCCAGTGCCCACATCCCTATTCCCTCCCAGGCCTCCTGGCTCAGGGCCAGTTCTCGTGTCCCCGCAGACTGGCTGTTCGTGGTCGTGGTCTGCTTGGCTGCCTTCCTTGTCGTCCTCCTGCTGGGCATCTGCTGGTGTCAGTGCTGCCCCCACACCTGCTGCTGCTACGTCAGGTGCCCCTGCTGCCCGGAAAAGTGCTGCTGCCCCGAGGCCCGTGAGTACCCCTCACCCGCCGCACGTCCACTCCCACTCAGCATCCGTCCTGGGTCCAAGGGGAGGAGGCGCCCATCTGCCTGCCTCTTGGGACAGTGTCACTCAGGAGGTCATGAGGGGAGTAGTTTGGGGAAAAGTGGGCCAAGGAGGACCTGCTACTTTACATTATCATTTACATGCTTCAACTCTTCACTTATTTTTTTACTTCTCATTTATTTCAAGTCTTTCCTTTTGAAGGTATAATTTATGCACAAGGTTAAAAAAAAAAAATTCAAGTAGTACAAAACATCGTTGACCGGGAAGTAAAAGTCCTTTTAAAAACAAAATCTGAAGTGAAAAAGGTCAGAAACCAAGCGAGGTTTACAGCCCCACCAAATTTAAGCACCTTTTAACAACCCACATCCACATAAGGATGCTGGATTTTTCCACAGATGCCGTTTAAGGACCATTCAGTGCATCAGAGAGGGTCTGGGATTAGACATGGGACCCGAGGTGGAGGGGGAAGCAGCAAACAGGAGAGGTGGGAAAGGAAGAGAGAGCCTCCTTCCTCCTGCTGCCCCACTGCCCCCCTTGGGGACGTCAGTGCTGCCGAGAGCACCTCTGTACTCAGTTATTGGGAAGTTTCCATCAACTCCGACATGGAAGTTCACACAGGCCAGTTACACCCAGACATACCTGCTCTCTTGTTCCTTGTACTGAAAGTAGGCTGTGAGAGCATGCTTCTCTACTAGTTCTCAGTGAGGGTACCTCACCTTTTCCTTTGTCATTGTCAAGTTCACCATATCTTTGGTTGACGAACAGATGACCCTGGCGGCTAGAAAGAAAGAACTTTACATGTTAGGAGCACCTAGACTATGAGAGACCAAAAGAGGGACAGACCTGCCCCCTCTCAGGGCACCTGCTCATTTCTAGGCCAAGAGTGAACACGTGGTAGAAAGAATTACCCAGGTGGCTCAGGTGGATGTGTGTTAGCATCCTTACATTTAAGGTTTCCACATTCCGTGACTCCAGTGTAACACAGTACAGGTAAAATCATAGGCAGTCATCGCAAGCTTGGGCAGGTGGAGGTTCGAGGCCTGGCTGGACCCCTTTACCTGTTGGGAAGTCCAGTGAAGGAATTCTCCTCTCAACCTCAATTTCCTTCTCTGTAAAATGGGGCCTTGCAGAGCCCACTGTACAGCGTGAGTCAGGACCCAGTGAACTGGTGTGTCCCACATTTAGAGTGGGGCTTGGCCTACACAGCGCTCCACGCCCACTAGCTGCCAGACATTGCTGCTGTCAGCATCGTTAATGACCAAGGGCCCGGATGCAAATTAGAGCCCCAGCCACTCACACCATGTGACCTCAGGTGAGCAGCTGGTTTCCTTCTCTGCAGGGTCCTGCCATCACGGGGTGTCATGAGCATTAAGGGAAATGCTGTGTGTCAGGACCTAGCACGGGGCCACGGCTCAGATCATGCTGGCTAATTTTCTGGTCACTGAACTCAGCAGTGGTCAACCTGTTTCACCACTGCCTGGAGAAATAAAATCCACTGCTCTCTGGAGGCCCGTGCTGGCCATCCCCTCCCTCTCAACATTTTTAGTTGTGGGCATCTTGCTTATTACTTGGGGGGGGTGGGTGTTAGTCCATTTCACAGGTGGGGTGGGATCCCCCCAGGGCTGCAAACAAGTTTGCAGTTAACCCCGCTAATTAAGGCAGGGACCAGGACTGTGAAAGCCAGTCCCAGGGCCCCATTTCCTCCATCCTGAGGCCCTGCTCCCCCAAACTGAGATCCCATTAACTCCCCGCCAGAGGCCCTGTTATTTCTGCCACAGCCACAGCCCTCCTGGGCTGTCCTAGAGCAGCAACTCCCAGAGCTAATTATAAAATAGCACATCTGCCAGCGGCTGAGGGGCTGCTTCGGTGGGGGGGTGTGGTGGGGGTGAGCACTGAGCCTTCTGCTGCCCAGCTGAATCGGGGTGAAGGGAGCTTTCTGAGCCCAATGCCGCACTCCATCTTCCCATCGGAGTTCCGGGACAGAAGCGACTTGCCTAGGCCTGTGACTCTGCCTCAGAGCAGCCACCAGACCCCAGCCTCTTGCCCAGGGAGGAAGGTGCTGGGGAGGATGTGCCCTTGAGCTGTCAAGCCTAGAACCTGGCGGGGGCAGGATGGGTGCGGTCCCCAAGGTGGAAACACTAGAGGAGACGCTTTGCTGGTTGGCTGAGGAAGTGAATGCTGAAGCTCCCAAGACGGCTTCCCATCACCTCGGGGTCTGGAAGACCCTACAGGGAGGACCCAGCAGGCATGAAAGGGGAGCAGGCACAGGATCCCGCCCCCAGATGATCCATTTTTCTAGCGCAAGGGCTTGGATGTCAAAGGAACCACTTGTTTCTGGCTTATGGGTCCAACACATGGGTGTTTATCTACAAGACACCTCTGCCCCTGTTGCTCTGTAAGGACGCAGGTCCAGGGTGGCCATGTCCTATGATAAGTTGGCAGCAGAGCTTGATGTAAAACCTTGTCAGATGTTGCGAAACCATTGTACCGTCAAACAAACTGGCATTCCTGACTGGGGCCGCCGGTGCACACCCTCCCATCCTAAAACTCCTGTGAGGGATGGCACAGGAGGTGTGAACTCAACGCGGCTCATGTCTTCTGACCTCAGGGACCCTATAGCAACCAACCAAGCACCCAGGGAAGCTCCTCAATGGGGGACTGGGGAGAAGGCATGTGGCCCCTGGGGCCCTTCTCATGCTGTGTGTTCTCTCCAGTATATGCTGCAGGCAAAGCTGCCACTTCGGGTGTCCCAAGCATTTACGCCCCCAGCACCTATGCCCACCTCTCCCCTGCCAAGACCCCGCCCCCACCAGCCATGATCCCCATGGGCCCTCTCTACAATGGGTACTCTGGAGACTTCGACAGGAATAGCTCAGGTGAGGCCCTGGGGACAGCCAGGAGTAGCTGGTGGGAGGTGGGGGGGAGGGGGTGCAGGGAAGCTGGGCCTTTGGCCATTAAGGGATCTGGAGCTGGAAGGAGGGGTTGGGGGCAGAGGGGAGGGTGCTGGGAATGCAGGGTTTTGCTCCTGACAGCCAGTCTCCCACAGTTGGCGGCCACAGCTCCCAGGTACCCCTGCTTCGTGACACAGACAGCAGCGTGACCTCTGGTGAGAACCAATCCTTATGAAATTGGACATGCCTATAGGGGAGGAGGGATGGTCAGCATCCAACCTCTGGAACTGATCACCTCCAACTCCTGACCCTAGAGATCCGCAGTGGCTACAGGATTCAGGCCAACCAGCAGGACGACTCCATGCGGGTCCTATACTACATGGAGAAGGAGCTGGCCAACTTTGACCCTTCTCGACCCGGGCCCCCCAATGGCCGTGTAGAACGAGGTAAGCCTTAGGATCTGAGGAATTCTTGAGGGGGCTGGGGGAAGCAGGTCTCCCTGACAACTGCCCAGGGACGGTTGCTCCACATCCTGAACACAATCCCTCATTCCCTAATATGGCCACAGTGAAGTGTACAGAACCCTGCAGATCATCACTAAATAGGTGAGAAGCCTGGGGCTCCCTTGAGAATGTATGAGCCAAGTGAGTGACACCGCTGGGCCCCAGGGCTCCTGACATTCCCTCCTGACCACCTCCCACCAGTAAGAGACACCTTCCTTCCCTACAGCCATGAGTGAAGTCACCTCTCTCCATGAGGACGACTGGAGATCCCGGCCTTCACGGGTCCCTGCCCTCACCCCCATCAGGGATGAGGAATGGAGTCACCACTCCCCCCGGAGTTCCAGGCGGTGGGAGCAAGAGGCCCCCCTGGAGCGGTCAGGGAACAGCCGGGGTGCGGGGCGGCCCCGAGCCCGCTCTGTGGATGCTCTGGATGACTTTACCCGGCCGGCCTCTGCTGAATCAGGGAGGAGATCTCCCCCAAGCAGCGGGAGGAGAGGCCGGGCCTATGCACCCCCGCGAAGTCGCAGCCGCGATGACCTCTACGACCAAGACCAAGACGACTCCAGGCACGTTCCGCACTCCCGGGATCCCCACTACGATGACTTCAGGTCTAGGGAGCAACCTCACGCTGACCCTCGGGCCCGCTACCAGCGCTCCCGGGACCCTCGGGATGACGGCTCCAGATCCAGGGACCCCCCCTATGACGGGCGGCTACTAGAAGAGGCCTTGAGGAAAAAGGGGCCAGCGGAGAGGAGGCCTTACAGGGAGGAAGAGGAAGAAGAGGAAGCCTACTACCCTCCAGCGCCTCCCCCTTACTCTGAGACTGACTCTCAGGCTTCACGGGAGCGGAGGCTTAAGAAGGTGAGTGATAGGCCCTGAAAGCCTTCCTGGACCCTCTTCTCGAGTCTTCCCCTGCTCACATTCTTCTTTCTTTCTCCCTTGCAGAACTTGGCCCTGAGTCGGGAAAGTTTAGTCGTCTGATCTCAACATTTTGTATGTAGTTTTTGTATTTTTTTTTTTTTTAATTGGAGGGATTATTGATGATCTCGTAAAACTAATAAAACTTCTAATCACAAGTCCTGAGTCTGGAGGAAAGCATTTGTTTTGCCGCGCTAGGTGGGGAGCCCGGACAGCTGATGTGTGTGTCTGCAAAAGGCCGCGCGTGTCCAGTTCTCCCTTGGGACGTGTGTCCCGAGCCAGGAGGAAAAGACCGGCTCTGCCTTCTCCGACTCTGCACCGCCCGGAGTACGTGCCCCACGCTAGCTCCGCCCCGCCCTGCGTGCGCGCTCCGGCCCCGCCCAGACGTGCGCATGCGCCTGGGGCATTCGCTTTCGCGCACTTCATTCCGGTCGACGGGGGCGCGCGTGCGCGCTCCCCTCCATCCACCCAACGCCCCCCCCCCCCCCCCCCCCCCCCCCCCCCCCCCCCCCCCCCCCCCCCCCCCCCCCCCCCCCCCCCCCCCCCCCCCCCCCCCCCCCCCCCC